TGTGTGTGTGTGTGTGTGTGTGTGTGTGTGTGTGTGTGTGTGTGTGTGTGTGTGTGTGTGTGGTCAAAGATTATGTATGTTCCAAAAACAATGAGAATCCAATCAATAAAAAAAATGTGGCCATATTTAGTTCTGCAAAATGTTGCAACTGAAGCTTTGAGATTTTCCAACCTCTGAGGTGCGAAGACCTACCCTGTAGATGTAATCCAGCAGTGGGACCTTGTGAGATGAGTGGTGCTCCAGTGACGACATAGTGGTGGGTTCTAGCAGCAGACTCAGAGGAACAGCCATACACCAGTCCAACAGACAGAGCAGCAGTGACACCAATAACTTCAAGTAAGAGAAAAATGTTTTTTTAGTGTGTTATAAAAGTTAAAACAAATAATAGAGGAAAAATATTGGACTGGAAATTGAACAGATGAGAGCTACATAAAAAGAGGATGAAAACAGAAGGGAAACAGACGACAACAAATCACTTCAGTGGAAACATTCCTCTGCAAATGCACCATTCCTACATGATAGATCAAGGGCCTTTAGATCTCAGTCATATCATGTCCCCTCGCTTTCCAATATGTACCTTTTTGTCTGCCTCCACCGTTGAGTGCTCTGCGCTTGGCAACAAAAAGGCTATTGTGGCCACAAAGATCTGGGTTGGGACAAAACGGAGAAAATAACTGGATGACAGTATCCTGTTCAGAGCTGTGTACAAAAATTAACATAACATCGTGGAATTTGGAGTGTTCATATGCATCAGTAAAAATAATATACTGAGAGATTTTAATTTAAATCATACAAGTGTCAGTTTAGTTCTGCATATGCATGTTCATATACCTCAATGATTTTCTTTGGGAGAGTGGGCTCCAGCCTCTGCAGATGTTCCCAGTGACAGATCAGCAGGTGAAACATGTCACAGGCAACTTGAGCCACGGCCTTGTTCCCAAACTGCAGAAATGAAGGAGTTTATTAGGAAATGAGAAATGATGACGACCTGGTTAGGTATTCAAAAGTAAACCAACTTGAACCCGTTTAAATATTATTGTGCAAATAAAAGTGACTGGAGTCAAGCGGCTATTCCGAGCAAAATGAGGCGTTCTTGGTGCCAAACCATGAATAGGCTGATGATTTACAAAGAGGGGAAGTGCATATTACTTCTAAATGCTTTGAGGAAATTGAGTCAGTTGTATCCGAAGACCCATCAGACAAACCAAACGTGACCACACTATCAGAAGATCAATACAAAAATCTTTAAGCTGAGAGATATTACAACGTCCTCATAGACAAAAKGGGGCTGTTGCTACTCAGAGGTTCAATCAAAAGTCCTGACAGGAGAAGGGCCGACTCGCTCAGGTCTCAGATGAGCGGTGGCTTCGAAATCGCTACTGAAGAGGGAAAATGAGTCCGGATATTCAGTGTGGGCAAATACATGACAACATTTAACATTTGTTTATTGAATTGTTGAAATTTAAGACTGATAAACGTGAGATTCAAAAATAAAAGAATTAGCTTTAAAAAATGCAATAATTAAGTTTTGAACAAACTCGGAAACTTAAGATGTATTTTCAACTGTGGACATGACTTTTAAACCTAAATAATCTTTGAACATAATATAATAACTAAACTATAACTATATTCATAAAGGATTTATAACAATACATGATATTAATAAATATATTAAATGATGCTTGAAAACCAAAATTTTATTGCAATTACAAAAATACATAAAAAGTACACATACWGATTTTCAAACTGACTTTCAAACCAAACCTTTACTTGAGTTATGATGTGTGTTTTATACTGTATATTAGGGGGGACAGTATTTATTTGCTAATTTACAGATTTTTTAAAATATTTTTTAATTTCTCTTTTAGACTTCCTATAGAGTAACTATTTGGGACAAACATTTTTGTTCTTTTTATGAATCATTTTATGTCTCACTTCCTCTTATTGAATACTGTATGCGTCACCCAAATGCTTAAATTCAAGGAGAGCAGAAAACCATTGCTTGGAAAATATAACGGAGGAAAAAGTTCCGACTAAGACACATTTTCTTTGACAAAATTCAGAGTAATTTTCCTTAAATTTAGTTTTACGCTTACTGTGCAGATTATCAGCATAATTTTATTTCACTTCAAAACCAGGCCTCATTTTCTCCAGACTCATTGGAGGAAAGAATTGAGCTGTTGACAATTTTCCTTCAAATGTGGATTTCTTCAGTGATTTGAAATTCTTTGTGGAGAAATAGAATTTCCTATTTCTTCCAGCTGAATGCCTCTCAACATGTAACAAGGGCAGACAATGTGGGGAGTACAGAAATGGCCAAACACAAAAAGGGGCCCTGAGAGTTCAGCACCTGCTTTTAGAAAAGAGACTCTCAGTGCCACTCTTCCCCCTAGATCCCCCACCCAGCCCATACCCTCTATTTTGGGGCTGGTTGAGTCTGTGTGTCAAGTTGTACGGGGGAGTGATTACTGCTCCATTAGAGAAGGGGGGTGGGGGGAGGTATGGGCAGTGGGGGGTGCTCGAGCAGGAAGCTGGGAGATGTAGCTGCTTAAATTGGCCCACATCTACTGAGAGTGAGCAGCCTGGAAATTACGCCACCGCCCAAAATCCTTTTCCATGAGGGAAAAAAAAGGGCAGCCTCCACTGGTTCTCTGCATCTCTTCACTCAGGGAGAAAAGAGGGCTCTTCCAAAATATAACTATGGGTCACATCACTGGACATGTTTTTATTCTCGCAGTTTTTCTCGCTTCAATATGTTGAAATTGTTCTGTGGTCATTTTATGCAATCAACTCATTTTTATTAAAACAGAACTCAATGGCGCTTGTTAAATAAAAAGAACTATTATGGACCTATTCAACTAATTCACTCTATTCAGGGATTTTTGCCACAGCTACGGTGTATAAAACAGCTCAGGTTGCAAGTGAGATTAAAAAGTGCAATATTTGCATATCAAGTTTGAAGTTTGGAAACTTTCAACAGCAGACACACAAACCAGATAAAAACAACCCGAACAATGAGTCTGTCTCACAAACCTTTAGTGTTACTCCCAGAACATTGATGGCATCTTTAACCTGGTGGTGGATTTCCTTTTGCATTAACTCCTCACACACCCACAGACCCAAGCTGCACACAGCAATGCATCTAAATGACAGAGAAAATAAAAACATCTAACTTTAAAGTGCCTGTGATGTGATCATACTTCAAATAAAAAACGTCAAAGAAAACACTTTTAAATTTAAGAAATTGGGCATAATCCAGATTATTTTATCCATTTTTTTACATAACTGGCAAATTTTCTTTTGAATTTGTCTCAGCAAAATTGAAACAGGAAGTGACATCAAAGGAGAACACTTTAATAAAAGGATCTCTCTGGTCTTTGTTTACTGAAACAATTTTGTTTGAACTCTTCTTCATCTCTCTCTGATGGTGACTCAAAATAAGCTAAAGAAACATCGGAGGATTCTCTATGGTCTGTGTAAATCATTGTAGCAACACTCCGTTTACATTCAGACATTCCCCTTTGACATCACTTCCTGTTACTTCACATACAAATATCTCAACAACTGCTCACCTCAGCAGTGTGACTTTTTTTTGCAATTCGTGATTAATGTTATTTTTCTAATAATGCATTCATATTTATTGCAAAAATTTGATGACATGGGCACTTTAAGGACAGTTAAATTAATTTGTATCAAGCATCAAGAAAGCATACCCACAAAAAATATGAACTTTAAAAGCGTCCTGATGCATCTCAGTAATCCAGGTAAAAAATCAAAAAGAAAAAATTGTATAGGTCTTCTGGACGGGTTCTTCTCTAATGAAACGTTTCRTCTCTCCTCCAAGAGACTTCTTCAGTCTGAGAGTTTCAGGCAAAATTCAGGCTTTTAAGCACTGACTCCATGTGACTGATACTCACATCACATGGCTATCGTTGACACCTAATTAACACTTATTGTTAACAGGGGGTGGCGTGATACTGGCAATAGCCGCGCTGTGGGAGGGGGACAACTGAAAACGGAGGCCTCCACCTCTGTTTAATGATGGACGGTCTTTCTTCACAAAAATAGCTTCTTTTACTCCTCTCTCAAACCAACGTTCCTCTCTATCAAGAATGAGAACATCCTCATCTCTGAAAGAGTGACCGCTGGCCTGTAAATGAGTGAAAACTGCAGAGTTCTGGCCATTAGACGTAGCTCATCTGTGTTGGGACATTCTTTTGAACAGTGGCTGCTTTGTTTCCCCGATRTATAACTGGTCGCAGTCCTCCTGGCACTTAACAGCATATACAACATTGCTCTGTTTGTGCCGGGGCACCGGATCTTTGGGGTGAACCAGCCTTTGCCGTAATGTGTTTTGGGGTTTGAAAGCCACTGGGACATCATGTTTAGAAAATAAACGTCTCAGTTTCTCCGAAACACCCACAACATACGGAATAACCACTGGTTTGGGTCTGGGTTTGAGGTCTTCATTTTCACCTGAAGGTTGCATGGARTCCTGTCTGTGTTTCCTGTCTGCTTTCAGGAAAGCCCAGTCAGGATAACCACACTGCTCCAGGGCCTGTCGTGTGTGTGATTTCTCTTTCTCCCTGGCTCCTGGGTTTGTAGGGACACTGTCTGCTCTGTGGTACAGAGTCCTGATCACCCCTAACTTGTGTTCCAGTGGATGGTGGGAGTCAAAACGCAAATATTGGTCTGTGTGGGTGGGCTTACGATATACGCCAGTTTCCAACCGTCCTCCATCCGAAACCGAGACATCGCAATCCAGGAACGCCAACCTGCCATTTTTTACATCCTCTCGTGTGAACTTAATATATTCATCCACAGAGTTGATGTGATCAGTGAAATGTTGGACTTCCTGGGCTTTAATTTTAACCCAGGTGTCGTCAACATATCTGAACCAATGGCTCGGTGGCACCCCTGAAAAGGACATCAAGGCTCTCTTTTCCACTTCCTCCATGTACAGGTTTGCAACAATAGGAGAAACTGGGGATCCCATGGCACACCCATGTTTCTGCCTATAATATTGCCCCCCGTACGTGAAGTAGGTTGACTCCAGGCACAGTTTGAGGAGTTGGCACACTTGTTCTGTGGAAAGTGTGGTTCTGCTGCTGAGAGTGGTGTCTGATTTTAATCTTGCACCAACCACATCCACTGCCTTATCAACAGGAACGCACGTAAAGAGCGATGTGACATCAAAAGAGACCATAGTTTCATCCGCCTCCATGATGACATGCCTCACCTTGTCCACAAAGTCCATAGTGTTCTGTATGTAACTGTATAACTTTAAAAGCAACATCCTCCAAATTTCAAAGTGAACAAAATTAATAACCAAGAAAAAAGTAGAATAAATTAAAGCTATTCATAACTAAGTAACCAAAGTATCAATGTGGATCATACCTGGCTCCTTCACTGGGTTCTTTTGTGGCTGCTTCCAGTAGGATGTTGATCAGATAATCCTGAACACAACAAATTCTTTAAAATCCACTCAAATAACTTTCCTTTAGATGAATGTACAGTGATGTGCTGAATGTTTTCAAACTTAATTTCCAATCAAAAGTATTAGTTCTCCAGGGTTTTGGAAGATCTTTCAAACATCTAGAGCATATTTACCTTGATGTCTTCATTGCCTATATGGATGCCATTAGAGCCAGGTATATGCTGCAGAATAGGGATCTGGAGGTAAAGGTTGGGGAAACATACAAGGGAGCCCAAGATGGTCTGAGCCTCTATCCGTGGAGCCTGACAAAGATTTCAGAAAAACAAACACATATTCACACAGAGGAATAAATCAAACTAAAGAAATAGGAACAACACATGTTTTTGAGACAGACTGGTTAGTGTAGGCGCAACATTTTTACATGTCTTGTGTTTAGGAGCTCTTTTATGTCTGAATAATTAACGTGCCAACTTTAAACGGCTGTATATTCCTCTCCAAACTCTAAGTAAAAGGACAAAACTTTTGTTAAAAAGCAACCAATGACAAAAACTTGTAATGACCTTTAAAAAGAAACACTTAGAAATTTGCCTCTTCAAAGCAAAATGTAAAGAAATTATGAATAACTTGACACTCTTATACAGTTATTTACATTTCTTTTTAAACAAAAGATTTCTTTATGACCTAAATAACAAAATAAAATAACAAAAACTTCTTTGTACCTCAGGGGATTCTGAAGTGAGGATGCGGGCAGAAGCAGTGATAAAATCTCCAAGCAGCATAGTAAAACCCGGGAGGCCAAGGAAAAAGAACCGAGGAGAGCAGGATCGAATGATTGTGTTCAAAACATCCTGTTGAGAAGTATAGAAACAAACAGAAAATGAAAAAATAAATAAATAAGTAAGTGAAGTTGTTTCATGCGGCACATTTTGCAGGTAAAATTTACAAAGCATATTTTAAAGTTAAATACTTTAAAATACTGTAATGAATTACTGTAAAAAATACAAAATACAAATAATCATAAAAACTAACTCATAGCTTGTCTGGGTAAGAGTTTTCAGCTGTTTCTTTCAACACAGTAAATACTTTGTAAATACTGACATAGTGTAAAATAACTGAATATTTAACTCCTTCCTCATACAGTGACATTGGCTTTCTGCAACATTTTTATTTTTTTATTTTATTTTGGAGCTAATAACAACAATAACAACAACAACAACAACAACAACAACAACAACAACAACAACAACAACAACAACAACATTAAACAATTTTGTGTTTGAGATTCTCCTAATCCCAAACAGCTAGGAGATAATAAAAACAAATCCACACTAAAGAAAAGCTGAAGACTCAGGAGGTTAATAATAAAAATCAATCCTCAATGAAGCACACAAAGTAAAAACAGGACTAGCCCCAAAACAGGACCTTGAGGGACCCCACATAAAAGGATACTAGAATTTAACATAACCTGGTCTGTAGAATTACTGAAACCTCGGACAGAAATGTAATGTACAAATTGTTTTAAAGCAATACCCACAATCTCCACATAAAAAAAACCCTTTGCACACTGATATTTCCTGGTAATAGACCAGGGCAACAGATTTTGTTYTTTTGTAGCAACAAACAGAATATCAGCTTAATCACAAATGGAGCTGGAGAATCTCAGCAATGCTCCACTTGTTCAGATTTATGTTGCGGCTTCCATGTGCTACTGCTTGGGTTTTTATTAAATCTATAAACAGAAATAATTTGTAAATGGGTCACAGTATGAAAGCCATAACGGGAAAAAGCTTTTCACCAGCACAGGCAAAATGCACATTTTAGGCATGTTGATGAAAGTAAGACTCAACAGTACATGACACTAACGGACAGAAAAATCAGGGAGGGATGGGAAGATGGGAGAGACAGCAGATGGATTGTTCACAATGAACAAGAGGGAGGACAAAAGACTTCAACTTTCATGAGTCATATATAGGTACGCTCATAAGTAAACCTGTAATTAAAGCCAGAGACAAGGTATTGTTTCGCTGAGGTACAGCGGCTCAGTGGCAGATGGGTACTCTTTCAATACTGACATATGCTCAACAGCAAAGGGTTCTGCACTAACTGCTTAAGTATGTACACCATAACAACACACACACACACACACACACACACACACAC